AATTAAATATTTAATTTAAACGTTACGTTTTTGGCTGGTTTTTATGTAATAAGTAGCCACGTACTCCTAATGAAATTACTGGAATTGTACAATGTCTGTGATAAAATTGTTATCACACGTTTCATCTTCTTTTTCATGTAATGAGAAGTAGCCACATACCTATTGCCCAATCAAATTACTGGAATTTCACAGAGTATGTGATAAAATCGTCATCACACGTTTCAGCTTGTGTGATACGGGAAATCTTCCACTCAAGTAAAAATGTATCACCACTCAAGCTTCGCTTTCGTGGTGATACAATTTTACTTTCGTGGAAGATTTCCCGTATCACACGCTGAAACGTGTGATAACTGATAGTATCTTACTGGTGGCTATATAAACTTATTGACCCCAGGTCATTATGGTGATTTAAGCTGACCAACATCAAGCCAAATATTTTAAACAAAATAGCCAATATTCATCTTTATTTTCCATTATTTATGTTGTTTTAAAAGACTAAAAAAACTTTATACCAATGATATATAAGATCTTACCTAAAGATCTGTTAATTTTCTGAATGAATGAGGAAACAGAAATGGTAGCATTATGATGTTAAAATCATAGTATAAATGTGATGTTTTACATGTTGGTTCAATGGGAAACTGCTTTAGGCCTAAGATTCTTTTCCTGAAAATGGGCTAGACATCTATTGGCTGTTTATAGAGTATTTTCAACTACCTAGCTAGGCTAAACTCCTGTATTAGGGCAAGGGCGTTACAATACCCGGGAATTTATCGGTTCGTCCAGTACTTGTTTGTGATAGCGCCCTCTGTAGGTCACTGTGCTTATAGCCTACAGTAATACGGGGTAGGATATCGGGAATTCGGTCAGTTTCTATCCGTCGATTTCGCTATGAATTGAAGCAAGTGTGACCACTTTATCCACTTAAACAATTTGATAATTGATTAAATCTTTAAACAAAATCGATAAACACGTTATACATTTCCTATCTCCTTAGAAATTAGCATGTATTTATGGATTGTGTTTTCGAACAAGGCTCGACCCACCCCAATAGGGAAATCCTTATGCTAATTAGTATGACGTCATATTTTCCTGGGGAATCCTAGATTTCAAAGCCTCAGTCTGTTATTGTGTCAAATGTAAACGCTCTTGGGACGCTCTTTTGCAGACAGAAAATTGACAGATTAGCTTTTAACTTTCAGCTTTGATGTTTAAATATTCTGTATTTCTACCGGACTTCTTGCTGAATATCATATAATGTTATAACTTGATTTGGACCATTGCCTGATTGATCATTCTGAAATTTTGATTGTGATTCATGATTGATTGGCAAGAAAAATAATTCCTATTGTTTTCCAGCGAAGTCAAAATGTTACAGCATGAGTTATAATGTCGAGTTTGCATCATGTTAAATTCTGCTAGTGATTAGAAGTCCATGCACAAGCATACACATACTAAGACAAACACACCCAGGCTCCAGGCCGTGGATGGAAATATAAAACTATTTAAGGCACAAACTGGTATTAATAGACCGATATGTAGTGTCTGCCATGTATTGAAGGTAAACCAATCTGCATTATTAATGTTTCTTCTATCAATACATGGATTGTGCAATGGAAAAGCAATGGCACAATCAAAAATGTGCATATCAATCGTGAATATCTCTCGGTTCAAAGCTTATTTCCAACAGAATCGTGTCAAAATATGTGTCTGAGTAACAGTTATACATTATAAGATCGCAAACTCTTACCAATTATCAGCCGAATGGCTCATTTTCAACGAAATGTCCTTAAGACAACAGCCCTGGGTCGCGCCTGAGACCAAAAACTACTTCAAATAGCCCTCCCCTAATTATATTGGATAATCACATTTATGCGTGCGCGCGCAGCTCATCCAATGAACGAAACGCCACTTCCCGCTGAAATCACCGGGTATTGATCTTTCCCTTGATTAGGGCAGTTTTGCCATCACGTTTGCTCCTGTAATTATTCACTTCTTCACCTCTTTAAAATGAGATTTCAATCAGTTGATCAAATCTTCGGACTTTGACCTCAATTTCAAATATAGATATTTATAAGAAAAAATACTGACTCATTATTATATTTTTAAAAGTCTTTCAAATAAAGTGAAATGGAGCCTGAATGGAGCCAAAATCAGCTAAAATTATGCAATGTCGTAAAATGGCGTTTCTAGAATATGATGCAATTACCCGTGACGTCACAGACACGTATCGCCACATCAACAACTAAAACAATTAATATAGACTTCACTGATTGGTTTAAAGATTCTTCGCATCATTTGTGACGTCATAAACATGTTACCCAACCAACAACTAAACAAATAATAACTAATAGGCATATAGGTTCGTTCAGTGCCACGCTCGGATAATCAACAGATATATGATAGGGTCAGGAATTTTTTTGACTTGGAGACCTCGACTCAAGGAGTTTGCTGCATTTTCTTGTTTGAAAATGATAACATATTTTGCAAGTGAACACACCAGAGCATATGGGATACATGCTTATTATTTCAAACCTCATCAGTTATGGAATACAACAGTTATGCACGGTCGGTTTGGATACAGGAAATATCCCTTGGGATATACAATATATCCCTCAGGATATTCCCTATATTCAAAACCTCCCAGTGCATAACCCCTATGTATTTCATACTTGAGTGGGTTTGGGGTAGATATCACCCGGGAATATATATCATATCTGAGGAGCGGGCAGGATATATTGTATATGTCCCGCTCTAGGCCAAATGCGGTCAGATATAATATATCCATCCCGCTCCCGGGAATTTTTTCAAAAGTTTAAAAAAGTCTAAAAATTTTAAAAATTTAAATTTCAGAAGTTCAAAATTTTTCAAAAAGTTTAAATGTTACAATTCTATTGTATTGAACTGAAGGAATATTATGAAAATGTTAAATATAAATTGTGCTTTTATAGTATAGGCCTATCTTGTCATTTGAAAAAGATGGTAAAGGTTATATCTACCCCAAACCCACTCAAGTATGAGATACACCAGTTATGTACGGTCCCTCGTGAGATACACATATTTCCCTTAGGATAAACCCTGTATCCAAAACCTCCCAGTACATAACCCTTATTTATTTATCCTATGCCAAGTAGAGTTTTAGGGAGATAAGTTGGTAAGATATATCCTGTATCCTGATTTTGAGGTTTCCATATCCAAAACCTCCATATCTCCCGCCATATCTCCCGCTTCGGTGCATATCTTCCCGCTTCCGGTCCATATCTTCCCACTTCCGGTAATGCAAAAAAATGACTTTGCATATGAATGATTTTTTTATTTTTACACCTTGTACTATTGAAATGGCCATATGTCCCTGAAAACTACTTGGTATAGGATAAAGCAGTTATGTACGGTCGCTTTGGATATTGGGTTCATCCTTCGTGAGATATGCACATCTACCTTCGGTCCCTACGGTCCCTCAGGTAGATATGCATATTTCCCTCTGGATAAACCCCATATCCAAAACCTCCCAGTACATAACCCTTATTTATCCCATGGATACTAAATATATATGGGAATAACAACACAAGATAATTTTGGTATACGACCCATGGATATCGCCCATCTCCACTCATTCGCTGCGCTCACTCGTGGAGATGGACGATATCCACTCATGGATAAAAATGGTGTCCCTCAAAAATCATAGGATATCCTCTATATCTGCCCGCTGATGAAAATATAAATTTTACAAACCGGCTTTATGTACCCGTAACACGTCCAAGTATGGGATAAAAAGATACATGTGATCCTAATTAAATAAATAATACGATTATTGATCGTCATGTAGAATGGAAACAGAAGCTTCTTTTGTAATACATCTCTTATAGTAGGTCAGACCCGTCATGTTGTCTACATGAGCCCTACACGAACTCCCGATCATAAAATTATATTGCCAGGGTAACCAATATATAAGCCGTCAGAATGCAAATGTATTGTGTCGCTTTGTTTTATGTTTTATGTCGCGTCATATTCCCTAAGTAGGTCATATATGTTGTAATCATGCATAGCATTTACTCCCACCCTAAGCCTAGGCCTAACCTAACTCTTAAGCCTAATGGAGATGGCAATTAACCACATTAACACTACCAAGCGACACGATTGGATAAGATGGACGAGCGTTGATTAAAAAGGTTAAATCGACTTTCTGGGGCTGTGGATAATATTGGATTCTGATAGTGCTGCCATCTTTATATCGGCCCAGAACCTATAATGTGAATGTTCCTGGCTTCAGGTTTATATCAAGGATGTCTGAAGACGTTACTCTCTCATGCACACGCCTAACCATCGACAACGTACAGTGAAGAAACACAGCGTCGTACACTTTAGATGTACGGTGTCACTATTCTAGCTAATATGATACGAAAACTATGATGTGGGTGTGATTTAGGTTTTAAAAATTAATCTGACGAATACTTAATAAAATTGAATGAGTTGAGCATGTGTTGGAGGATACAACTCACATGACCATAATAAAACCTAAACTTTTTATGAGTATGAAATATCAAGTAAATCCCATTTGAGAGCTGTGGTTACAAACATATTTTATTAACAAGTTAATTATTGGAGCACATTAAATGATACATTATTTGTTATGTTGTCTGAGTTTGTATTAGCAAACTTTGATTTTTTTCTTTCTAAAATCATCATTAAAGCTGTTCTTAAGAATTAATAAGCAATAATTTCAGTGTATAACACATGGTCATGAAAACCAGTTGTGTTGACATTAAAATAGCACGCAAGAAATGTCGTTGATATTAACACATATGGCGTAGGCTTTGTTAGATTAACAGAATTTGACTTTATTTGAAAATATCAATTATCGTAAATTTGCCCTGATACACTGTCCGTACACTGTGCTTCATATCGGCAACTGTCCACCATTTTGTCCAACTACAAGGTTTTGAATGGCTTACATTTGTGGGGGAGTTTTGTTCTCACTAAATGTCAAAAATAAGAAAAGGCACATTCATGGGGGTAGCTATTTTGGAAAATATCGTTCATTCTCCCTATAGCCATATAAATGTACAGGTACGATCCAGAAGAAGGGAGTACTGTAGCTTCCATAATTTTTTCACATTCTATCGTATTCGGGGATTCCCCATTACGCCATCTCCCGCATCATCTCCAATCAAATTGCAGGATGCGAACCTATAATTTGAAATCGTGGAAATGGCGTTAACATCAGTTCAATATCATCATTTCAAACCTACGGTAATACTATTGAAGTTCCAATATGCCAATATGAAAGGTCATCTTTGGGAAATCTCCCCCCCCCCGGGCACGATCAGGAATATCGCATAACTTGGAGATTAAAGAATATCGAGTTGGAGTTCTGGCTTCCAACACTCCTCCCTGGGTTGGAGCAATGGCCATTTAAGAATCAGAACTGAATTCTCACCAGTCCCTTGATTGGTCAGTCCCATCTTGGTCACCACGAAATCTTTAATGGTCAGTTTATCAAGAGTCTCTGGCAATAACACAGAGAAAGAGATATCTCTTTCTTGGTCCATTTGTGATATCAAAATTACATGTTTCATAATATGATAGATGGCGTCTTGTTCACTCGTGCCATAATAATCAGTTGTGTATCTCATCGCAGATGGAGTATCAATGTGTGTGCCAAAGCTTATGGACAACAGTCTTCCTTTTTCATCTGTTGTAACAAAAACTGTCTTTGTATCCTCCAGAATCAGCTTGTAGTTTGATGTGTATTGGATCCTATATGGTGACCAGTTTGCCAAAATAAATCCAGTTGGAAAGAGCCTTCCTTTCTCACATTCCTCTAGCATGGAGGCAATCTCAGGCATAACTGGCATTTGGATCTTGTTTAATTCATAACCAATAGGCTTCTCAGCTTTGATAATATTCCTGATACTTTGGTGGAATTCGAACGGATTTGCATCAAAGGAAACGACAGACTGAAATGGACAGAGATAAAAAAAGTGCTTGTTTAGTAAGGAGCATGACCATTGAATAATAAAATGTTAAAAATGCTTGGTTCAAGTAGGTTGCATTCCACTCATTTTGGAACCCCTTTGCAATATAAACCAAAACAGCCCAATAATGAATGTATTAAGAATGACAAGGGTTGACACCTATTATGTCAGCTTTATCCAGCTGTTCAGAAGATATACAGTATCATCCCAATTTAAAAAAGCCTATGGAAAATCTAAAATGTATATATAATCAAAAATATGTTTTGAAATGTCTTTGATCTAACAATCATTATTTAGAAGAGCACATTTGAATTACTTGTGAAATATAGGTAACATAACCCATGTTAGTACCTAAATTGCATTCTAGGATTAATATTATATGATCTGATTCAAAAAGATTTTCAAATTCATAAACATTTCAGACAGAAGTGTGAATAAAATTTAACATACATTGTATTCATGTTCTACATACCCTTATAATAACGTTGACCAAATTTCATGGTAGTATACACACCATTCACGTTGTAATTCTCAATTTTATGAGAGAAATATCTATCACATGTTTTCTTTTTCCACCATCTTGAAATTAAATTTAGGGGGTTTGTATTTCTAAATCATGGGCCTAATTTACGACTAATTAACATTATAATCATCCTATATGTTAACTATCAACCAATAATCTACTTCAGAACAAAAACGTTTTAATTTACCACTTACTATCACCCTCAAATATTTCATATCTTAATTATTAACTAAAAATCATAAATCAGCATTATTGTAAGTTAATTTACGTTGAACTTGCTACTGATAATTAGGCCATAATTATCATTGATTTAATTAACGCTTAACTCTAATTCCAATTGCCAGCAGAATTGTTGATAATTAGTTGTAAATTAGTTTGTAATTAGTTTTATTTTTCAATTGGGATTGCGTTGAAAAGTTAGGCGAGTCGCAGTCGACGACCATCGTTTTGATTCTCCACACATTGATTATTTATTTTGACCTATTTTCAATTCACACAACCACCAAAAAGTTTTATCTTCTGCTTCACATTATGTTAATAAACTCTTTGCTGGTATTTAGCGTTGTTGTTATTTAGTTACTAATTTGTTTGAAAATATTACCCTTTTCATTTTAGGTTTATATTCTTGTTTCTTCGTCGAAAGCCTTGATTTGACTTCATCCCAGTTGTCAACAGTGTCGTAGAATTGATTCAGCATTGGGTGATTCTCCATTATATTCTTTTGAATGTAGTATCCTAGCAAAAGACAAAAACATTTTTGAAATTCGACTCCTATATTAGGCATATTTTAATTCTTTAATAACGTTTTTTACTATTTGTAGTTTATTATTTAACATCTACGACAATTGCCGCTAATGTTTTTTTTATAAAACTTTGGCAATCAATTGCATGTCTTTTATTGTTTACTAAAGGAATAAATTCATGTATAAAAAAAACACATCTACGACATGTATTTTTATGATAAAGATCTATCATTCTCATTCAGAAATCTGCTAGCAGAAGCAAAGGGATCATTATATTTTGGCAAGTTGGGCTGAGACATTGAAGATGACATTTAAAGAACAAAAGCGTAATTTTTCTCGGGAAAACGAAGGTTGGCATCACCCAGCGCCTCTAAAACTAGGAGGTGATGTGATACCAAGATGTAACACACATAGGCATTTGTGCGATGTTTTGGATCAAACTCTTAATTAATGTTAATTCCCATATTGATTAACCCATTGAAAGAGTAATTTCTTGTTAGACCCTTAAAAAGTCCTCCAAAATGTTAAACAGCTTTATAATAAGAGACAATTTACATTTCTTTTATCCTTCCCCTTTTTGATATTGCGACATGATATACAACACGGCCTCAACTGTGAAACCCATAGCAATTTACAGACTTCATTTTAAAGCAGCCCGTATTGTGTCTGGGACCATGCCTGACTCCAACACAGCAAAAGTATGGAATCCACCTAGGCAGACATATATCAATGTATCCAATGTATGTGTCATATATCATTTTAGAGCTTAACCACAGTTACATAGATTTGCTAAGTATCATGGTTCAACTCATAAATGGGAAAATGTATCAGACATTTCAAAATGTACTGTTTGGTCAAAATTCAAGTTAAGTTTTTCACCAAATTAATAGTCGGTGTGTCTCTCTAGTAGACAGGTTCCAATTCAAATAATTCAAGTTTTTGAGGCATTTTTTAGAAAAAGCAACAGACCTATTTTTACTAGATCAGTTTTTCATACTGATAAAGATATTAAAAGATGACAGCTCAACGGGGTGGTCACGACTCTAAATTTTGGTATTTTTACCCCCCTAGGAAAATATTCTAGGGGGTACTATGAAACTAGTTCATAACTCAAAGGTAATATGAGCTATTGTTCTGAGTTGTACACCATACATTGCTAGTACAAATATGAATACCATCCTAAAGTTATAGGTTGATACCCTTATTGGTCTCAGAAAAATACAAAAACAGGAAAAAGATACGTAATTTTTGTCTTGCCAATTTTATATTTGTAGCTTCAAGCACAATATGACAGCTTTAACAGCTCATAGTAGTATTCTAAAAACATTTCCAAGCTATGTGTGGTATTGTAATACATCTATTTTAGTTATGAAGTACTATTTTGTAATTTTAATATGACTTTATAGTGCCCTACCCCTGGAAAATTGAAGAAAGTGGATGTGGTGAATTTTATCATTTTGCAGCATTAAGTTAGAAACATGTATTCAAAGACACCAAATCAATAAATTCATACCATCATCAAATGTTAGGTGACATTCTAATTCATTTATTACTAGAATATAGGACTTACGATATTTTATATGTAAGTTTTCAATTTAGTACATGTATCATAATGAAATCTAGTGTAATCACATACTAGAGAGGTTGGCATACAGTCTAGACATTGACATAAAGTCTAAACATTATAATCATCAATTGATCTCATTTGAGCAACTAGACTATGGTGGTCATCATGCACAAGTAATCTACAGTAGAACCTGCTAAGTGGAACACCTCCTCCGTAAGTGGAACACCTCCCAAGTGGAACGCCTTTTCAAAGTCCCGTTTTAAAAACCCATTGACTTAATGTTGATTGAACCTCTGTAAGTAGAACACCTCCAAACTTGAACAGTGAACACCCCATATTGAAAAATTAACCTGCTAAGTGGAACAGTCAATTTCCATAGATTTCAATATTGATATATGTAAACAGAATCAATCTCCTTCAATGATATCTGGGTATGAAAACAGGTAATACTGTGATAATTGGCAAATTAGGATTTTAATGGATTAACCTCCTGTAGAGGTCAACATGTGATGCAACCAATAATTAATTTGATAATCAGCAAATTAGGATTTCATAAGATTATCATTCAGAAAATTGGATTAACCTCCTGTAGAACTGGACACGTGATGCTACAACTAATTAATATCCCTTGCTGTTTGTTTCAAACTTAATAAGTAAGATTAAAAATGTCATTTAAAAACAATTGAATTATTAGTAGTAGGAACAAGTCTTTAAAACTTAATTGCCTAATCTTTGTACCTGAGACTGGCACAATTAGGAGGATTAAGAATGTCAGAAAACATTTTTGGCACAATGAGGAGGATTAAGAATGTCAGATACCTTTTTGAGTAAAATAAATGGATTATTAATGGTATATACCTGCCCTGTAATGAAGGGAGAATCATATTTCCAATGATACATATAAATCCTATATTTGATCTTGTATGTTCCCTGCGAACCCAAAACCTCCGTAAGTGGAACACCTTCAAAGTGCAACGCTTTGTGGCAGAATGGAGAGTGTTCCACTTACAAAGGTTCTACTGTATTTACATAATAATGTTATAAAGGAGCATGTAGGTTATCGCAAACAACTTCAGACAATTCTAACTTGAATTATGAATATTTTCTGACAATGAACATGGGTATATCTTTTATATCTATTCATCATCTTCAAGAAAAGTAAATATAATGATTATTAGTGATATTAAAGGGAATGGCCCAATCAACATACTTTTTACTAAAAATTTTGACCTAATTTTTACCAAAGATGCAACCTTTAATTATATTGTTGAATGCATAATTAGAATATGCTTTGAGACATGTTCTATTTCTTAAGAGGAAAAGTGGATTGCTCCAGGGACTTTAAAGACATTGAATTTGGATGACCAAAATGAACTGAAACCAATGGATAGCATGAATCTTTTCAAAGGGGAAATAACATGGGGAACACTAATCTTAGGGGAATTCAGTTTTCTTTTCAAGAGCTATTTGATACATTAAAATAAAAAATAGTAATGCATTAAACATTGTTAAAATTGTTAAATTGTATATTTTTTTCTAATCAATTGTATTTTTCCAAAACCAACAAAGATATCAACCTATAACTTTAGGGTAGTATTCATCTCTGTACTAACAATGTATGCTGTAGAACTCAGAACAATAGTTTATATATCCTTTGAGTTATGAACTAATATTATAGTACCCCCTAATATAATTTCCTAGGGGGGTAAAAAATGCTAAAATTCAGTGTCGTGACCACCCCGTTGAGCTGTCATCTTTTAATATCTTTATCAGCATGAAAAACTGATCCAGAAAAAATAGGTCTGTTGCTTTTTCTAAAAAATGCCTCAAAACCCCTTTCCCTTGAGATATTCTGAAATTGGAACCTGTCTATAGGCCATGTTAACAGCAACAATTCGTTCAGGAAAAACCTTAAACGCGCTTGGAATTCGGGTGTAGTATTTTGTAATCCACAAGAATAGTTTCCTTGGAGTATTTCCTTTTTCCAACTTACCATCCATCCTATCACATTCAGGTCAGAGTACTAGATTGAACTTTAATTTGGCCAAACACTTTAAAATGTTTTAAAATGCCTGTAACTTTTTTCCATTTGTTAAAATCAATGTAACTTCGGATAAGCAGTATGATATACTGATACAAAGCAAAAACTATGGAGACATTGGTATATGACTACCTGGGGGGGGGGGGGGGGGGTCCCGTACTTTTATGAGTATATGCCTCATGGTGTCACAGTGTATAACATTTAATTTTTTATGTATACTTTTCATAGTAATGGAAAAAGTTAAATTGTCTACATAACGTATACTTTTGCGAAAATTTGGATCGATGAAAAGTATTATTCCCATTTCATTATTTACATCGATGTTGTTTCAAACCCATAATTACCTAGATTTGGAATTAAACCTTGACCCTGGAAGCCCATCTTTACTCTGCTGGCTTGACGTATAAAAGAGTTCCAATCATCAACCACAGAATGCATCGTAAATGCCACCTACAAAGACAATATACTCAAAATTGCTATTCACCTAATTTCATACGATTTTGCATACTGGTAGACGAAGTTTCTTCATATTTGATTGAACGGTGTATTTGGTGATGACGCTACTCAAATAGCTCGAAAATCTATGTTATTCATTTCAGATCGATCAAAGTGAAATATATTTCTGTTTGAAATTTGGGAAGTAGTAAATGAATTAATGAAAACAGAGAATGAAATCCTGTGCTAAGGGCTGATGTGAAAAAGTCAGTCCACCCCAGTGGGGATCGAACACACGACCCCTCGCTTTCTTGGCAAGTGCTCTAAGTTTTGCACCCTTCTCAAGAGAAGAGATTTTATTATTTTGAAATTTCTTACGCATATAGTATCACCTATCTTACATTCATATCTGAAATTTCAGGACCATACACAATACACTTCTTGAGATACAATGACTTTAAAGTGTGAACCAATGGTCTCATGGTTCATATGACGTCATTAAATTAAATTAATTTTGTGAATGCCTTGAAAGGCTGAAATTGCTAGGTCAGTCTGTGTTCTTTGAAGAGTTAGTCAGGTTATGTTATAATTGCCTTATAATCAATCAAAATATAGAGTTCTTGTGTAGTCTTACATAGCAGGAATGCATTACTTGTAGCATTCTGTCCAGCAGTCTTTGAAACCATGTCTGAAACCTCCTACCTGTAGGATGTCAGGCCTTTGATAACTACAACTTCCTTCAATACATTTCCCTTTGTCTAATTCCATCTTGGAAAACTTACCAATGCCTGTTGGAGTCATCGTATGCAATCATGGATGATTTTAACTTGTGTAATTCTGTTAACATGAATTCTATCAATGTTTGTTTTGCCTCAGCTTTATTATTTTGAGTAATATTCTCATATTTTCATAAATTTATATGAAAACTTTGATAACGTCATAAAATCTGGTGATTTGTTCAAGATTTTTGAAGAGTTTGTTTACGTCCATTCTTTGGCATTACCAAAGAAAAGAAAATGAGAAGTATTGATATAAGATTCATATTTGCCACGAGAGCAATACTAGATATTGCTTAAATTTAAGTTGATGGTTTATGTAAGTAAATTTGGGCATGTTTAGTGATATTGTGCTTTATATATTACTTGTTTTTGTTATGAACATTAAAATTAACATTTATTGATTTATAGATTTCACTAGTAGGATATTGCGTAAGCTCAAACAAAAATCAGAATGCATGAAAAAGCTTTGGTTAGAGAGTATACAAGTATTGAGCAAATAAAGAAACCACACCTAAAATAAAAACTGAACTTTATTCTGTGGAATATTGGGGATATAAACTGGTTAAAAACATTACAGTTTTCTCTTTAAAAATGATATGGACCGTGCCGCCATTAGCTTGGTTACCATAGCAACCATGAAAGGTCAAGTAATGATCATACATACATGAAAACTTGACACTGTAAAGGAATAAGGTGGGGGCACACTTTTACCAAATAAGAACAAGATTGGTTCATTATTTTTATAATTAGATATATTTGTGCAAAACTTTTTGAACAATCCTTGCATATATCTATTTTACATAAATTACATGTCTTTCGGTCTGACTCACAGGGAACGTGTATCGGGGGGGGGGGGGGGGGGGGGGTGGGGGTAGGGATAGCAGCAATTTTCGTCAATTTTGAGATCTTTCTGAGAAGTAAAATGAAATAGAGTTTAGAGTAGATTTGAAATATTGAGAAAAAGTTCAACTGAATCGGTTGAAAAATGAAATGATAGAACAATTCACAGAACTTAATTAATGATCACGCTGAAGAAGGTCACACTTTGAATCGATTTGAAGTTGATAAGCATATGAATCGTACAGTATGTTTATTAAATTCAAAGTGTGACATTATGTTTATAGATCTCATTTGGTTTACGCTATCAATAATATTTCCTCTCTAGATATGGAGTTTGTTATCCGGGTGTCCGCTACAAATGCCAATTAATGTATAGTGTTCCTACATACAGGTTTCTGGTAAAAGAAAAACGGTAAAAGGGTCTTTTATTTAGAATATGGGGATTTGGGCAAGGATGCATTGACTTAACATGGGGATATGCTCTAAAGACCTAACATGGGGATATTATCATATTTCTAAGCTCGTAGATATTTATTTGGGGAAATGTTTTGTCACCCTGCACCTTTTATACACGTCACATTACCTTTTCACGCATTAGACGGTGTCTTTTATTATTTTAAAATGTAGTGACATCAAAATAATGCGCAATGCAGTTTTTTAATGTAACATAATATGTATCCGGTGGGAACCATCTTTTTGACATTTTTCAATCTCTTGTTAATCAAAAGTACCCTTTTATTAAAATCAATTCATATCATATTGAAATCAGTTATGTGGTAAAAAATAAAATATGAATATAAAAAGTTGTTTTTAAAAGGGCAACCTTGTGTGACCCCATTTTAGAGGTAAACATACTTTGTTTTCTTAGTAAGGAATGGCAGTACTTTCAAACGGTAAGTTCATTTTTTGTGGCGGAGTGCAGGATGACACTTCATTTTTTGAGCATATTATTTATGTCTAGTTTATATGCCAATGCAGATGTTGAAATGTGACCCATAGACCCATAGTTTCAACTCAACCTGCAGCTCTTTATTCTATTCACTTAATTTTCAACTAAAACATTTCAAAATTTCGGGTTTATTTTTTTTAAAATCCGGGCTATCCGGGTTGAATCACACTTTCAGTAGTGACAAATCAAATAAAACGCACTCGTAACTTTAATAACACACGCCGTAATTTCTTCGCACTCTGACAACGTTAGTGCAGACATACAGCATACCATTAGAAAGCCTATACTATACTTTTCCATCTCAATTATTCCAGATTGAAATCAAGCCTTCGAGGACTGATATATTTAGTTTAACGTATGGAATTTTAATAATACGTAGACGACGAAATACCTTTGCAGACTGACAACAATACGTACAATTTTTTTTGTCAAAATTTTGCAGTTTTAGTAACGATACATGTGTTACGCGGTATATGGCATACATTCATGGTTGCGCGGTATTTGTGATACGGGTGAATATGCCATACTCACCTGCGGTATATGGCATATTCCGCATGTGAGTATGCGATATTCCGCAGTGAATATGCGATACATTGATTTCAGTGAATACCCGATACTCACCTGCGGAATATGTCATACTCACTTGCAGAATATGCCATATACCGCAGGTGAATATGACATATACCGCAGGTGAAAACGTGATACAGAAAGCCTTGATTTGATTGGTTGCGAGAATCGACTCTAAATGTAAAACTACGCTCGATTATCAATATAGTTAGTGCGTCGAGTACTAATATATGAATCCTGGATTGATTGAGTAAGTTTATTACATGAGATTGGTGACTGATACTTCTGCTAAGTTAATATATTCGATACACAGTAATGTTAATTCAATAATCATTATAATGATTTATAACGTTTTACTTGTTCGTTCAATCGACGCAATTGACAATTGCGTACTTCCGTATCACGTTCTCATTGGCTAGTGTGTATGCAATATACCGCAGGTGAATCTGTCATACACCGCAAGTGAATATGCCATATTCGTTGCGGAATATGACATATTTTTGTATCGTGTTTACCGCGTAATAACATGATACATGAGAGTACGTTATGTAAAGTTTTGAAAACGAATGGTTCATATTTAACAAAATGCCAGCACCCGTCCTGTTACTTTTGGAACACCCTGTAGACGACGAAATACCTTTGCAGACTTACAACAATACCAAGGTGAATTGATGTGAGGCGGCGCAGCCACGCGTAGCTGTTCAAAACGAGGCTGCAACGCGTTACAGACCAAAATGGAAGCAACTCCGATTATCTGAGCCACTTACACCGGTTTTGTGATCCAATAGTTATTATAGCATTGCACTATTCGGTGGAGAACTTTACAAAGTATATTATAATGCTTACAGTGTATCGAATATATCAACTTATGCAGAAGTATCACTCACCAATCTCACGTAATAAACTTATTCAATCAATCCAAGATTCATATATTAATACTCACGCACTAACTATATTCGTAATCCAGCGTAGTTTAACATTAAGAGTCGATTCTCGCAACCAATCAAATCAAGGCTTTCTGTTTCACGTTTTCACCTGCGGTATATGTCATATTCACCTGCGGAATATGACATATTCCGAAAGTGAGTATGACATACTCCACAGGTAAGTATCGGGTATTCACTGAAATCGATGTATCACATATTCACTGCGGAATATCTCATACTCACCTGTGGAATATGCCGTATACCGCAGGTGAGTATGGCATATTCACCCGTATCACAAATACCGCGCAACCATGAATATGCCATATTCTGCGTAACAGTTTTAGCATATTTAAAAAAATTATCGAAAGTGAGATCATCATGACATTACTTAAGATCCTGCAAATACTTTGTGAGAACTATTTTTAAAAATTCAATGTCAATCTTTTCTAAATATGCTTAACTTTCAAAATAAGCCATTGTTGATTGTCTCACTTTGTTGAAAAGAAGAATATGAATAAATTTTAGCCAGAGTTGCACCATTGGCCAATTTCCATGATTTGTTTTGCTTCTTATTATAAATGCCATATGTTTCTATAGGTTCAAATCAAAATATATTACATAGAATCGCATTTTTTGTTTTACTTTTTGTTTTACTGATTTATATAAAATATTTCAATATTTTAAATAAAGCCAACCGAGAAGGCTGAAGATTTTGTCTTAATTCTCAAAAACCAGCATTTGTATTGCAATTTACGCTTGTTTGTAACATACATCAAATTATTTTGTAATATTTTGGTATATATATTCACTATTTTTTAAATTACATGCATGGAAATGGCTAAAAATAGCCGAGGGATGGAAAAATCCTGGATAAGGGGAAAGAAATAATATTTCTACAAAACTAATAAGGATATGGTTATATTGTTCGTCAGCCAGACATGTTTAGGAACTGGAACTGAACTGAACTGAATAGATGACCAACAGTTTTAAAATAATTTTACTCAAATTATTTGGATGAAGACGCGAGGCGCAGACAGTAATTGCGCAGAAAAGCTTGTAATATGGCTTCTTTGAAAGTGTATTCACTATTGTATATGGTCTATATTCGAAAGAAAGTAAATAGAACCAGTTTATGTTTTCATTCTCTGAAAAGATAGAGATGGTGTGATTTTTAGGCAATTTCTGAAATAAAAAAACAAGTTCCCACCATCCTGAACTCAGGCACTCTACTCCCGATCACCTCGAGTGCACCAAACGTGGGCTTTTATCTATAGAGCTATCGGGACGTATTGGTAACCCTATTTTTTCCGGGCTGCAAAAGACAAGTTGTTCGTAAATTTTTCCGGGTTGTTAAAATTTGAGGATTTTTCCCGTGTTTGCAACTTTTTATCTGGGTAAGGGCACTGGATCGTCGCAAGATGAGAGAACGGGGCAGCGTGACAATGGTATAGTGATTCGTATCGAAAACGTACATATAAAATGTAATAATGATGTACTCAATTTTGAAACGTCGGTATCACAATATCTGAACATGTCAATACTAAGAATCTCAGCGGTACGCTAAATATTTGTTCATAAAAATGATTGACCTCATGGACTCACAGCGCCGGGCTATTTGGCACATGTTGCAAATTGCTTGTGTTGTCAAATACAGGGTGGGCCAAAAAGTCCACATTTTTGTTTTTGCTACAAGGTTGTTGTATTACAGACAAATGTATAAACTATATATCATTGGAAAGACAATTCAACTTCCAACAAAATGTTTTATAATTCATTCAATATCATTTTGATTACCACAGGAGTCAAAATCATGATTTACCAATTGCTGAATAAAGAATGCTAACAACTGACCAGACAGATATAATCTCTATGGCAGATTTGGGGATGCAATTGGCAATGTAATATTATGTAATAAGCTCAAAACATATAGCTAACTCTTGTTTTTGACGGTTCCAGCCTCGAAATACGGAAAATCCCATGGAGTCATCAATAGCCTTTTATATTTTATAAATTATACATCATTTTGTTGGAAATTGAATTATTTTTCTAATTATACACTCCCCTCCATAAGTTTGGCAACCTTAGCTCTCCCATTGAACTACGTGTTAAAGCCTCTTTACCTTTGAATTTGTATTTACTTAACCTGCGATGAAAATACATATACTATTGATGGAAACGTAATTTGACTTTATTTCCAATACCTCCAAATTTTCTCAATTTTTTCCTCAATTACAATAAGTCGAAAATTGATGATAAATTTGATGAATTTTTGAAAATCGACATTCCCATGTTAACCAATGGGAAATGGTAGGTTTGCCGCAAGTCATATGACAGAATATCCATCCATCCGAGTCCTTGCAAAAAATACGAGTCAGGCAGGCAATTGAATTCGATAATTTTATGTAACAAAAAATTGATATGTTACTTCAGGATTTACAAAGTTATAGGGCTTTAAAGTCAAAATTGTTTTTCAAAAACCTCTCCCATTGAAATAACCTGTAACTTTAGTATTCATCAAATAAGCTTAACACTTAGTGTACAAAAAAGTTAGACAATTCAATTTTCTATATAAAAAATCTTTTACTGAAAAGATATCCTGATTTCTGATTTGCCCCGATTTCCCATTGCATTATTGGGAATGACGATTTTCAAAAATTTATCATCAATTTTCGACCTATCATAATTGAGGAAAAAATTGAGAAAATTTGGAGGTATTGGAAATAAAGTAAAATTACGTTTCCATCAATATTTATAGGATATCCTATGATTTTGAGGAATATCATTTTTATCTACGAGGTGATATTGATATCTGCACGAGAGAGCGAAGCGAACGAGTGCATTTATCAATATCACCGAGTAGATTAAAATGATATTCTGAAAAAAATCATAGGATGTTCTTATTATCCTACACTTACAAAAATTGTACTAAATGTATAATATCAGCAATGTATACACTTGGTGTACTAAATGTATAATAACTTTAAAAAATATTTGATATAATTATTGGCAAAATGAATAACCGGAGGATATCGTAACGATATACTCCGGGCGGAGGATATCGTGACGATATACTCCGGCAAACCCAATATGCGGAGGATATTGTGACGATATACTCCGCTTGTTGACTTCCCGCCAAATAGACTCTATTTGGCATGAAATTCATTTTGCAATGATATTATACATTTAGTACACTCCTTGTAAGTGTAGGATAATAAGAACATCCTATGATTTTTTTTTAGAATATCATTTTGATCTACTCGGTGATATTGATATATGCACTCGTTCGCTTTGCTCCCTCGTGTAGATATCAATATCACCTCGTAGATAAAAATTATATTCCTCAAAATCATAGGATATCCTATAAATATATACAAAGCACGTTATGTTAAATGTGGACTGGTGTGTTTAATTTAAGAATGATTTTATGTTTTATGCCACTTACTATATCGTTTTCTACAGTCGCTACTCCAAGATACTTTTTCGAGTTTCCAAATGATTCCTTGTAAGTTGATTGGAGATAATCCAAACCATTGTAGATATTTCTGTTTATGTCCATGACACCTTTGAAATCATGAATTGTTGCCATTCTATATTTTACGCCATTAATAACTTCTGGAACAGCTCTTCTATTCTCAATATTTGTAAGTTGCCACGTTGACTGAGAAATTCCTTTAGACACTGGCTTCATCAATTTGTTTAATTGTTTGAACAACATTTTCAGTTTTTGTTCCACCCTTTTAAACTTTAATACTCAACTACGCCACAGCTTAACTAAATTGTTTGTAAATAACTTAAAGACCCCGTGTAAAGTTTAAAAATATAGTCTTTCAATTCAAATACTACTTTTCATGAATTGATACCCCATTTAAAACATTCGTTAAAACAAAATGTCTTGAAAAAGTTTCTCATCTTATAAGTATCATCAAATACAAACGTAAACTGTAAAACACATTATTTTCTCCACTCCATTAAAAAGAAGTTGTATCATTTCAACCGTTTTATGCATATTTTTGAACACGATGACACGCTGTGATGTCACTCAGGTAGCTAAATATTTTTTCAAAAATCAATTTTTCCAAAATAAAGCAATATAGTTGGCCTATCTAGGTTGAATATAGGTTTTTGTCATGTTTCAAATATGTATGTACAATTGAATTCCCGACCTATGATGTCAAAATGCTTTTTTGGCGTCTATTATTGTCGTTTACCCAATTTTAATATCAAAATATGCCATGTGTAACTTTTACATTTCCAATGTGTCGCACCAGGAGTAATATAGATTTTGTATTCACGCTGGGTACTTGTCATAGTATATTGGCCGGTATATTTTTGATGGTCAGATATATAAGGGTTATGTACTGGGAGGTTTTGGATATGGGGTTTATCCAGAGGGAGATATGCATATCTACCTGAAGAACCGTAGGGACCGAAGGTAGATGTGCATATCTCATGAGGGATGAACCCAATATCCAAACCGACCGTACATAACTGCTTTATCCTATACCAAGTAGAGTTTTCAGGGGCATATGGCCATTTCAATAGTACAAGGTGTAAAAATAAACAAATCGTTCATATGCAAAGTCATTTTATTGCATTTCCACTTTTAAATTTTAAATACATTGATAACTTTTTGAAATACAAAAGTGCTGTTTAACTATGTAACAAAAGGATAAATGTATCCAAAACCGACCGTGCATAACAGAAGTATTTCATACCTACTGAGGTTCTAGGTACATCATACCTTATAAAGATCCAAAATTCCAAAACATACTTAAGGTACGCGTTTTCCTGGTTTTAAAGTTTGCGAGATTTTCAAAGAATGTGAAAAAAGAAATTTAAAAGAATTGAAAAAATGTGAAAAAAGTAAAAAAAAAAGATTTTGAAATTTTTTTTAATAAAAAAATTTGAAAGAACATTTTTAAAAAATAACCGAGATGCGAGTAGAAATAATCTTGATTTACGTCATTAGAAACTCAAAATTCAGTCAAACTAATATCATATTTGAAATCTACATGTAAAATTACATCTAGAAATGTGGTTTTAAAAAGTGTTTTTCAACTTTTAAAAATTAATTTTCTTTGAAAATGTGACTTCTAGCTCGGGGAGATTCCCCATAGACCCCATGCTATAAAATCACAAAAAATGAAATATCTTTTCATTTAGTGGACAGATAATATTTTGCTTTACTGGACATATTTTCATTAGTATAAGTATCAGACGCATAAGGGTTATATGAAAATTGAGCCACTTAAATTGATAATATTCAAGTTTAAGGGAACTTTCTCATATACCTGCCATGTTAATTGACCCGAATCAGCCACCTGGTGGTGAAACTGGTAACTACCTACTCGCATTTGGGTAATTGAAAAAAAATTCAAAATCTTTTTTTTAAAATTAACCACCTGGGATTATCCCGAGGCAAATATAATATATCTGCCCGAGGGCCGCAGGTTCCGAGGATATATATTGTATTGGCCAAGGGATAATCCCAATATCCTGAAACGACTATTCCCTTTTTAAACCATCAAACAGATCCCGTTTGTCCGTGTTTTCTCCAATTGTCGTTTACAGTCATTACGCAAACGTTACAAATTATGAACAAATATGCGAGCGGCGATTATGATATATGATGTACAATATCTGCCCGCTCGGAGCGGGACGTAATGCGATATCTGCCCTCTGATGAAAATACAAATAAGTTTTAACAAATCGGTTTTATGTACCTTTATCATGTCAAAGTATGGGATAAATGTGTATGTGTGTATGTGCAGAACCTCTGCTTGAGAAGGGATATTAAATATGGCAGCTCAATTTAAAATGGCCACTATTTTTTTATATGAAAAATCTTTTATATGAAAATTTTTACTAACTCAAATACTAGTTGATGGATTTGCCCTAAATCTATTATGTTGATGCCTAGGGACAAAAAAAGAAGTTGCTCAAGAATAGATTTTCAAGATGACCACTGAATTTTAAAATGGCCCCCAATTTTTGAAGGAAACCTAGCCTCTGATAACTCAAACACTATAGCTAGTTGATGGTTTTACTTCAATATTTATATGCTGATGCCTATATGGACAAACAAATCCCAAATGCACAAGACGAGATATTTAAGATGGGCACTGAATTCTAAAATAGCCCCCATATTCGTAAAAACGTATTTTATAATAACTCAAATACCAGCGGTCGGATTTGTAGTGAACAATGGGGGAAGAGACATAAATATATTAATTGATGACACCGATGTGTTTCTCTACTAATCATGTGAAATAACAATAGTCACCTGCTAACCTTCGAAGGGCAGTTTCTACCAGCATATGCCATCTCGGGTAGCGAATAGCAAACATAAAATGGCCACCATTTTTCAAAATAGTCAAATTGTCATAAGTAAATGTAAAATGCTTCTTAGTTGGCACGCATAAAATTGCCAAAAATTGCTCCACTCTACATATCAAGTGGGTTGGTGGGCATTTAACAAAGGTCAGAGGTCAAGGTCATGCCAGTGTTAAAGTTCAATATCTAGGTACCTGGCGTGTTAAGACCCTTTAGGTGACCTTAGATCAAGGTCAACTTTATGGGTCAAGGTAATTCCAAGGTCAATATCATGCTTTTTGGAGTCTTAATGCATTTGGGGGCTATTGTGATCCTTGGTGACCCATGATTAGGTGACCTAATGAGGTCAAGGTAATTTCTTGGCCAAAGACCCCTGGCGACCAAAGATTAGGTTACCTGGGGTCAAGGTCAATGCATTGTTTATGGAAGATGGTCATTTCAAGGTCAAAGGTTTATATCTAAAATCCAGATTCCAGAATACATGTTATAAGCAAGGTGATATAAACTTCATCATTTATTCCGGCTTTCACTTCATTTTGACATAAAGACAGTTTATTCAAAAGTCTCTTTATATTTATAATTTTGTCCCTCTTATAATATAAGATAAATTTTCCACGAATTTATTCCATATTCAATATCCTTTCAAGCTATACAAATTCATATGCATTGTTACTACAATAGAGGTCGTTGACGTTTACTCATAAAGAATTTCGTGAATATGGAAAGTTTATTTCGTGATACCAATAATTCCCTTTACTTCCGGGTATTTCTGTAGAAAATATTTATTTTACGAAACTGTGATACTGATTAATAGGTGAAAGCAGGTCAATGTCTTTGCTCAGATTTGTTACAGTGGAAGGTAATAAACGGAGGAAAACATCTTCAACAAATGAGGATGATGTGAACAATGAAGATTCCCCATTAGAGGCCAGTGCAAAGGTATAATTTTTATCTGTGATTTCCACACTTTCCTTGTCATTCAATTTTTCCATTATCCGTACACTGTGGCCAGGCGGGAAAGGCGGATGTAGCAGTTCACATTTATGTATTGGCCTCACATATCACTGGGGGCAAATTTCGAGTCAGAAAAAATGTTTTCGGAGCTTGCGCGGGAAAAGTATTTTGGGCCCCTAAAAACTCAAAGTGGGCCCAGATTTTGAAAATTTAAGGCCCATTTGTAGATAATATGTTCTGTAAAGGACCTCAAAGGCCAAATTATGCCCAAAAGGCCTATTTTTGAGGCCCCACAAAATTTTTAGGGCCCTAATTTTATTCTTGGTCCACAAAAGAGGGGGGGGGGGGGAGGGGGCGACGAGCCCCATTAGCTCCCCTTGGATCTACCAGTGCACATGATTATAGGGAATGGCATGGTTACAAAACTTTCAAAACAAACTGAGGGAAGTAATTTAAGAGTGTAACCGGACAACTTATCCCCTAGACGACTCATCCCTGGACAACTCATCCCCTGGACAAGAGTCATCATGCTTTGATTTCTATTGAACATAAAATCCATCAACGGGAAAATGTTGTTTGATAGGAAAAAGTTTGTAGTATCCCTCATGTGCAGTGAGTTTGGAAAACAGTGAGTTTGGGAAATATCATGTTTTGATGACGATGAAAACATTCAAATCAGGATGTAAATCATCCATTCCTAAAGACACGGTCTAACGTCACTGGCATGGCAGCGGAATCTACGTAGGGTGGTCAAAAAACGACAACCCTGCATTTTCCTCGTATCTTTGTCATTTTAGAGAATAACTCCCTAATGGGGGGGGGGGTGTATAGAGGGTCTTGGAAATGCATATACAATATTTTTCAGCTCTCTTATACCATATACAATATTTTTTCACCATATACAATATTTTTCACAGCTCTTATACCATATACGATATTTTAGGTGAAATACAATATACGATAATTTTGAAACTGCTTTTGATTAAAGTTTGGATATTTATAAGGAAATAATATTATATTAGGAGAGAATCCATGTACTAAAGTAAATGTATTATTATAAGGCAACTAGACTCCACATACTTACCACAATGATTTCATTTATTTCATTATGAATTAGACACCATTCGGGTGCATCAGCATCAGAAAAGCTGTGACCACATTTTATTTTCAGGTAAACAAGTTGATTTAAAACACATTTATGATATAAGATTCATGACTTCTCTTTAGTGATTTAGCAACCTACTTTGACCAAAAAAACTAACTATGACATTGCTGCAATTTGCTAAAGCCATTAGCCCATTACCTGTAAAAGTACCATAAAGATATTCAAAATTAGCACAAAACCTGCATCATTGGAATGGGTGGAACCCAGTGCTCCTCTTTCTTATGACCTACTTTCCCATGACTTATTTAAATGTCCTTCATAGTGAGCCAGGGGAAAAAAATCTTGAAACATAATTGATGCAAAATTGAGAATGTTGAATAAAAGATTCATCATGTGTTCTATGAAAATAAAGTTTGCTGAGGAAAATATTTATCAGATAGATAATGAAGATTCACAATGCACAATAATTTTGTAAAGCAGTTACCTGGAAAATATTATGTATTTAAAACAGTTTCAGAAATAAAGGACTTCACAAACTTCCATGTAGATAATTCATTTTTGATTGGACTCGAGTCTGGAAACTAGAGTTTGAAATAAAGGCAAGATGAGACTTGATTGTTTAAACATTTGAAATATGAGACACTTCGTGGTTTCAGATAAGGCAGCCTCAAAGACAGTATAAGTTAAACAAAGGTGTGTCAAAATTAAGCAAATTTCCATGAAGGTCAAACCACATGTTTCACAGATGATTTCAAGGCAAAGATGTATTGATGAGAATGAAAACTACTCTATGTAACTAGAAATAACTTTCTTTTAAAGGACCATGGACGGTATCGCAACAGATTTCAGTCATATATTGGATTTTGGCTATTTTCTGAGGATTTGAACAGGTGCATATGTTAGGCCAATGCATTAACTCCAGGACAAGCAGTCATAGAGATTATAAAATAATTTGGACTTTAAGACAGGGAAGGTGCAAACACCCCATCAACATGTTTTTCTGTAATGTTGTCCTGATTTCCAGCCCTTTCCACACCTGTTTTTCAATGTTTGTTGCATCGATCACTCGTTGCGTTTTGAGACATGGTTAAGATCTTTAAATGAAAATATGATTCATGCAGGGGTTTTAAAGATATCAATTTTGGATGACCAAAATTGAGCTGAAAACAATGGACCACATGAGTTTTCCCTATGGGAAAATAACATGGGAAATACATGTACTGTTTTCCACTTTATCCCAAATAAATCATATTTTAGAGGTTAACTGTGTCTCAAAGTGCAACATATTGGTGCATCAAACATTGAAAAAACATATGTGGAAAGGGCTGAAAATAAGGACAACATTTCAGAAAAACCTTCCCTGTCTCAAAGTTCAAATTATTTTATTACCTCTATGAGTGCTTGATCTGGAGTTAATGCATTGGCCTAACATATGCACCTGTTCAAATCCCCAATAAATAGCCGAAATCCAACACATGACGGTTTGAAGACCAAATAAACACCTTTTGCTATATTATGCTATATTAGCATTGTGATGCTTGTATTAAAACATGCGCTGTATGAACACTTTATACTCAAATATTTTCATGATTTATCCCACATACCCCGAAACACGAGTAGCCATAGTGACCATATTTTTCATCAAAGTTAAGATGGTCAATGACATTTGGCAGTCTCACGCCCGGTGATCTGATGAAATGAACGGAGGGGGAGTAGCTGATTTTCGGTAAATTCAACAAATGTTGAAGATTTATTTTTTCAAGCAAAAGTTTACAATTGAATGGCTACATGAATAGGTGCAGTGCAGAGGGAAATATGTTAGGTCTTCTTGGATTTTTTTGAACTGATTGAGTTCTAAGATAAAAGGTCTATTAAAAAAGGCGCAGCGTCGCCAACGTGCAAATGCTAATGGTCTGCAATGGTCTGCACGACATGTAATAAATATATAAGCGACATTTTTATATCACAAAATTCATTGCCAGTTTTTTAAAATAATTTTCCAAATGATAGATAAAAAATAATCGAAAATAATTAAAATTGAACGGAGGGGGGGGGGAGTGAACGGAGGGGGGGGAGTGAACGGAGGGGGGGAGTAAAATGTCTTTAAGGTGGAAGAAATTTCCACAAATTCGTGTACTTGAAAAATGAACTCACTTACTCAGTAACTTGATGTTACAACTCTGAAAAGTGAAAAACGGGGACATATGGATTTATTGGAAGTTTTCATATGTCTTATAGACAAATTACTCCCCCCCTCCATTCAATTTTAATAATTTTCGATTACTTTTTATATAACGTATGGAAACATGTTTTACAAAACCCAATAGTTTTGTGATAATTACTTCACTTACAAGTATTTATTACAGGTCGTGGAGACCCCTGTTGGTTGATTTATAGCAAAAACATTGGCATTTGCATGTTGGCGACGCTGCACTTTTTTAATAGATCTTTTATTTTAGAACTCCACAGTTAAAAAAAATCCAAAAAGACCTAACATATTCCCCCGTCCACTGCGTCTATTCACTTAGCCATTCAATTGTAAACTTTCTCTTGAAAAAATAAATCGTCAAGATTTGTTGAATTTTCTACCGAAAATCAGCTAGATCTACTCCCCCTCCGTTCATTTCTTCTGATCACCGGGCGTGATTCTTATTTGAGACTGTATTTAACACCTCCTGTGAAAATTTGAATGAAAAGGGCACAAAACTCTTAGTTTGAGAGGGATTTTCTCTAAACTAACAGTATCGATTGACCTGGAATTTGAAAACAATTATAGAGACTACTTTTCCATGTTTTTCCAACACGGTTACAGTAAGAGAGTTGGCACAATGGGGGAACTTTAGGGTACAATTTCTTCATAATTAGCCTTCTTTAATTCTAGATACCATATACCATATTTTCTATAATACCATATACCATATTTTTTACACCTCTTATACCATATACGATAAATTTTGCCCCCTCTTATACAATATACAATAAATTTTCAGCCTCTTATACGATATACAATATCTCTATACACCCCCCCCCCTAATGTTTTACAGATTTGTACGTCATTCGATATCCAACATCCTACCGTATTTCATAACCATCAGACTGATAGTCACAATGTTACAGCACTTTAAACAACAAGCTGCTGGTGTGGCCATCGTCGCGCTGTAGACCCTGTAGGCAAACCTGCACAAGTTGTCAATGACCCGACTGCATCAGCAGGTATGGTCTGAATGACACAGATGATCTCCCATTTGAGGTCTGGATTTGGCCTGAGATCACTCTTGTACACTACATATTTGGAGTATCCCCAAAGGGAGATGTCAGGTACGGACCTTTTGTAAGACGTGTGCAGGTTTACCGACGGTGCAAAAGTGGCCACTAGAAAATGTTGTTTAAATTGCTGCAACATTGTAAATATCAGTCCGATGGTAATGGAATATGGCAGGCTGGTAGTTAATTGAACAAACAAATGTGTGCACCCGTCTTTCCCACCTGGCCACAATGTATGGAGTCTAATATGTCAATCGCAATGCCCTAAAGATGTGGATATTCACCATAATCCATATATGCTCATAGCTCTATGTAAATATCTATATATCTCTGTTAGATGGACCTTTCTTTGAATTCCCCTCCTAGCGCTTATGCCCCACAGATCACAGACTGGCAGAGTCACGTTCAGTTGATTGACGTTCAAAAAATTAGCCCCTACCCTAGACAGCCCATAAACCATGAACCACATATTCCATAGCCAACAGACCACTGGCAAGAATGATCATCCAATATTTCAAAATATGTTAGAATCTTATAAATTATTTAAAGGTCTGTAGGATAGACTAAAAACAACTATCTAAGAGTATATGCAAGTAATGATTCAATTTTCAAACAGGCCGGCATAATTGAAAAGAAAGGGGATCTCTTTTCGTGTCCAGAAAACGAATCGCTTGCACACTGTATAAGTGAAGACTGTGCGATGGGAAAAGGCATTGCAGTTATATTCAAGAAAAAGTTTGGAGGCATACAAGAATTAAAAAGTCAAGGTAAGATAGGTAATAATCTGCATCGTAAAAATTGACACATTGTTATAATTTTTTTGTTGCAGCAAAGCAGAAAACATCAAAATACAAGTCTCGGTTTGGAGAACACTCTACTGGGTTAATAATTTTTCATGAAAAATATAGAAACAACACCCAAATCAAATTATGAATATCCAAGAGGACATTTAAAGCAGGAAAATAAATCATTGATACACACTTATTAGGTTGTTTATGTTTATATCACAACCCAATGAGGTGTGTATTAATTAATGATTAACTTTTGGCACATTAAACATTTCATAGGGAGTAGCGAAGACGCGCTTATGATTTACTTTTAATATTCCATTTTTATCCGGAACTAATTTCAGAATATGCTAAACACTCTGCCACACTCTGACAGCCTGGTATTATTAATAATTGAGGCATGACTAGGTCTAGGATCTGCAAAATCGTTGCTTCAATTGTTTTCCTAACAACCGTATTTTTAGTTTTGACTACTCCTTGTGTTTGTTCACCTTTCTTCTCCAGAAATGTGTAATCCCATTGTAGGAAAATGAGATTCCTGCACGTCCATCAAGAATATTGTAATATTAAAAAGGACGGAATTAAGGCATTTATTTGCATCTAAGTCATGAGATCAATTGGCAAACGACAGATAAGAGGGGTGTGGTGAACCAGAATGATCGATCATTCTTTGCAATAGTCAGACATTGTAATCTCATTCTGAAGTGTAAAAATGTAAATATAGATGGCATGTGTAAAAACTGATTCACTATTACGGAAAGCGATAGGGGACATGCGCATAATTCAAAATCGAATGGAGTTTTAACATGGGAGTGATATCACACACCGCGGCCCAGTCAGATAGATTTCATCGCGCACTGAATGAATTACAGGGGCCGCGTTGTGCGAAGTTAATTAAAATAAAGTGCGCAGAAATTCCGGCATTCAGTGCGCGATGAAAAAATGATTATCTCTGAATAAATAACGAATAAAAATTCGTGGCACCACGAATTTGATTTTTTTCGAAAGACTGCGGAGTGAACAAGCGAAATGACAATTTTGGATAATATTGATGGCTTTAACGAGGAGAACTTTGAGATTTCCCGATTCTAGCGCGCAGCACATCCAGGACATGCGCACTTTTATCAGATTCGATTCTAATATGGTTTCAAAAATAATGTTCTTAAAAAGAGGGCGTATGCATACAGATTACACGTGGCGTTATGTTGAAGTGACCCTTGCAAAGGGTTCCATTGAAAATATATTATTTTGGGCCATTTCATATCTTTTAATTGATATTGTATAAAATATTTTCAATGTTTGAAAATTATAATCTTATAAATAACATTTTATGTAATAAAACTGTAACGAAATGGTAAATACGGAATATGATGCAATACAATGCATTGCAATATGATGTTATACAATGCAGTGCAATATGATGCAATACAATGTGGTGCAATATGATGTAATACAATGCGGTGCAATATGATGCAATACAATGCAGAGCAATATGATGCAATACAATGCAGTGCAATATGATGCAATACAATGTAGTGTAATATGATGCAATACAAAGCAGTTTTATATGATGCAAATAATGCAGTGCAATATGATACAATACAATGTAGTGCAATATAATACAATAAAATGCAGTGCAATACGATGCAATACAATACAGTGCAATATAATGCAATACAATGCAGTGCAATGCAATACAATGCAAAACAATGCCGTGCAGTGCAATACAATGTAGTTCATTTCAATACAATGCAGTGCAATACAATTTGGTACAGTGCAATACAATGCAGTGCAATACAATACATCGCAGTTCAATACAGTGCAATACAATGCAGTGCAATAAAATACAATACAGTGCAATACAACACAGTGCAATACAATACAATGCTGTGCAATACAATACATTACACTGCAATAAAATACAATGCAGTGTAATAAAATGCAGTGTAATTCAAGACAATGCAATACAATACTGTGCAATACAATACAGTGCAATATAATACAATGCAGTGCAATACAATATGGTGCAGTGCAATATATTGCTGTGCAATACAAAACAACGCAGTGTAATACAATACAGTGCAACACAATGTGGTATAGTGCAATACAATACATCGCAGTTCAATACAGTGCAATACAATGTATTGCAATGCAGTGCAATAAAATACAATACAGTTACAATGTAGTTCATTTCAATACAATACAGTGCAATACAATGTGGTACAGTGCAATACAATGCAGTGCAATGCAATACAGTACAATATAATACAATGCAGTGCATTGCAATGTAGTGCAATACAATATGGTGCAGTGCAATATATTGCTGTGCAATACAAAAAACGCAGTGTAATACAATACAGTGCAACACAATGTGGTACAGTGCAATACAATGCAGTGCAATAAAATACAATACAGTGCAATTCAATACAATGCAATACAACACAGTGCAATACAATACATTACACTGCAATAAAATACAATGCAGTGTAATCCAAGACAATGCAATACAATACTGTGCAATACAATACAGTGCAATATAATACAATACAGTGCAATACAATATGGTGCAGTGCAATATATTGCTGTGCAATACAAAACAACGCAGTTTAATACAATACAGTGCAACACAATGTGGTACAGTGCAATACAATGCAGTGCAATACAATACATCGCAGTTCAATACAGTGCAATACAATGTATTGCAATGCAGTGCAATAAAATACAATACAGTTACAATGTAGTTCATTTCAATACAATACAGTGCAATACAATGTGGTACAGTGCAATACAATGCAGTGCAATACAATACAGTGCAATATAATACAATGCAGTGCATTGCAATACAGTGCAATACAATATGGTGCAGTGCAATATATTGCTGTGCAATACAAAACAATGCAGTGTTATACAATACAGTGCAACACAATGTGGTACAGTGCAATACAATGCAGTGCAATACAATACATCGCAGTTCAATACAGTGCAATACAATGTAGTGCAATGCAGTGCAATAAAATGCAATACAGTTACAGTGTAGTTCATTTCAATACAATGCAGTGCAATACAATGTGGTACAGTGCAATACAATTCAGTGCAATACAATACATCGCAGTTCAATACAGTGCAATACAATGTAGTGCAATGCAGTGCAATAAAATGCAATACAGTTACAATGTAGTTCATTTCAATACAATGCAGTGCAATATAATGTGGTACAGTGCAATACAATGCAGTGCAATACAATACATCGCAGTTCAATACAGTGCAGTGCAATACAATACAGTGCAATACAATACATCGCAGTTCAGTGCAGTGCAATACAATACAGTGCAATACAATACATTGCAGTTCAATACAGTGCAATGCAATGTAGTGCAATGCAGTGCAATAAAATACAATACAGTGCAATTCAATACAATGCAATACAATACAGTGCAATACAAAACAATGCTGTGCAAAAGAATACAGTACACTGCAGTACAATACAATGCAGTGCAATGAAATACAATGCAGTGTAATAAAATGCAGTGTAATTCAAGACAATGCAATACAATACTGTGCAATACAATACAGTCCAATATAATACAATGCAGTGCACTGCAATGCAATGCAATACAATATGGTGCAGTGCAATATATTGCAGTGCAATTCAAAACAATGCAGTGTAATACAATGCAGTGCAACACAATGTGGTACAGTGCAATACATTATAATGCAGTGCAATACAATACAATGCAGCGCAATACAATGTAGTACACTGCAGTACAATGCAGTGCAATATAATATAATACAGTGCAATGCAGTACAATACAATGCAATAGAATACAATGCAGTTCAATACAATACAATGCAGTGCAATACAATAAAATGCAGTACAATACAATACAATGATGTGCTATACAATACAATACAATGCAATGAAATGCAATGAAATGCAATGAAATGCAATTCAATGCTATGAATGTACACCTTCTACAGTCAAATAAACACAGATAAAATTGTAATAGTATGTTAGTGTATGGAGTTTGAAGTGGGTGGGGGATACAATTACCAGTCTGCTGATTGATGACTTAATAACTTAGAAAAGATCTCCTAGCTTTTAACAGATGGCACTTATGTCTACCTTATGTTCTTGAACAATCTCGTCTAAGAATACAGACCCGTGTCCTGGATTAACCTGGGGGAGTGGTTTTACCAAGGGGGAGATTTTGCCAAGAGGGGGAGCTTTTTGACAGTTATGGCAAAAAAATCATGCGAAAAGTGCTAAGAATGGTGAAAAACTGCATGATTTTGAACGAATATTTGGCAAGGGGGAGGGGGGTGAGGCCCCCTGGCTACGGCCATGGAATACATATAGGAACTTTCCTTCTCCCAGAAGAAATGGTATACAGGTATTACATCAATCATTCTGGTATTTTGTATATGAAGGTCTGTAGTACACACTTTATTGAAAGATGGCAGTGTACACTGTGTGTGTAGGCCTACTACCATTTTGAGGTCAGTTTGACTTTTATAATTCTGCGCACTATAATCTGTAATTCTCATAGATATCCTCTCTAGAGGCATCACTGTGATCCAAAATTACAATTTCGCAGGTCAAGTCTGCAGTCTTTCGAAAAAAGTTGAATTCGTTGTGCTACCCTTTCTTGTTGGGCATTAATATTAACTATATTTACATCGCGCCAGCATATACAAGCTTCAGCGCGATATTTTGAGTGTGTTAATAAATAAAGTGCGCAGAAATCGATCTTACTGGGCCGCGGTGTGCGATATCACTCGTAAACAGTTTTTAATTGCGCACTGAATGAATTACAGGGGGCGCGTTGTGCAAAGTGAATTAAATAAATAAAGTGCGCAGAAATATATCTGACTGGGCCGCGGTGTGTGATATCACTCCCATGTTAAAACTCCATTGAATTTTAAATTCTGCGGTATATCCCCTTTCGCTTTCCGTACACTATAGTGGAGTAAGTTATGAAATTTAAACCCTTAAATTGCACTTGCTATATATATGGCACCATTTTGACATAAGTTTATTTAATACATATATTTTTGATATCTAACGAAGTGGTGTTGAATAGTTAATATATTAGTTAACAGAAAATCAAACAGACACATTTCTGAAAATTTCTTATTTTTGATATATCTCGCCGTTAAAAACTATAAAAAACTATATTGAGCCCCGTGTTAATTTATCAATCTTCAGAAGACCCCTTGTAGAACAGTTCAAAAGTGATAAAGCCCATATTCCTAATATGTTACAATAACATGATTATCTTACAAATAAGAAGGGTTCAATTTTTTCTTTCGCCTAGTTTCAAAGATATTGGTGTTTGAATTTGGGAAAATACCCATTGGCTGCCATTATAAACCGCTATCTATATGGCTTAATTTAAGTGTTCTTCTCTGAAAAAGTGCACAATAAAATTTTGTAATATTGTAGATTTCTATAGTTAACATATTGATTTACACTCTTTTTAATTAAAAAAATCAAACAGTTACATTTGTGAAAGTTTCTCATTTCTAATATATTGATCCAAGTTGAAGATTGATAAATTAACATGGGGCTCAATATACCTTTTTATAGTTTTTAGCAGCTTGGTATGTTAAAAAAGAGATTTTCAGAAATGTGTCTGTTTGATTTTTTCTATAATATTAGAAAATTCCATTGTGGACTTTTTAAGAAAATGATACTTTAATAAAGCTATAGTGACAGCGACTTATAATGGAAGCCAAATTCCAAAATTCAAACGTAAATATCTTCGTAACTCGGTAAAAGAAAAAATGTAACACTTCTTTATTTCTTATTTTGATGCTAATGAATATGGGCTTTGTTACTCTAGAACTGTTCTGCAGGGGGTCTTTTGAAGATTGATAAATTAAAACGGCGCTCAATATTTTTTTATAGTTTTTAACGGCTAAATATATTAAAACTAAGAAATTTTCAGAAATGTGTCTGTTTGATTTTTTAAAAATCAAAATATAAACTATAGAAATCTACAATATTAGAAAATTCCATAGTTGACTTTTTGAGAAAAGGAAACTTTAGTTGGTAGCGGTTTATAATGGCAGCCAATGGGGATTTTCCAAAATCCAAATGCCAATATCTTTGGAACAAGGAAAAATGAAAAATCTAACCCCTCTCATTTTGAAGATAACCATGTTCTTGTAACATTCTAGGAATATGTGCTTTATCATTTTTGAACTGTCTGCAGGGGGTCTTTTGAAGATTGATAAATTAACAAGGGACTCAATATCGGGTATTCAATATTATACTTTTAAAGGCTAAATATTTTACAGTAAAAAGTTTCAGAAATGTGTCTGTTTGATTTTTAAGGTCAGTATGATTAACTTTAGATATCTACAATATTAGAAAAAATTCCATAGTTGACTTTTTTGAGAAAAAATACACTTTAGTAAAGCCATTATTGATAGCTGTTTATATTGTCAGCCAATGGGGATTTTCCAAAATTCAAATGCCAGTATCTTTTGAACTAGGTAAAAGAAAAAAATTAACCCTTCTGGTTTTGAAGATGATCATGCGATTGTAACATCCTAGGAATATGGGCTTCATCACTTTTGAACTAGTACTGTTCTGCAGGGGGTCTTTGGAAGATTGATGAATTAGCATGGGGCCCAATATAGTTTTTTAATAGTTTTTAACGGCTAGTATCAAAAATAAGAAATTTTCAGAAATGTGTCCGTTTGGTTTTTTGTATCAACTATAAAAATCTACATCATTAGAAAATTCCATAGTGAACGTTTTGAGAAAAGAATGCTTTAGTAAAGCCATTATTGATAGCTGTTTATAATGTCAGCCAATGGGCATTTTCCGAAATGCAAACGCCTGTATCTTTTGGACTAGGTAAAAGAAAAAAATTAACCCTTCTTATTTTCAAGATGATCATGCGATTGTAACATCCTAGGAATATGGGCTTTATCACTTTTGAACTGTTCTGCAGGGGGTCTTTGGAAGATTGATGAATTAGCATGGGGCCCAATATAGTTTTTTATAGTTCAGCGGCTCCTTATTCCTTATTCAGCGGCTCAGTTATACTTTTTCAGCGGTCTTCTGATATATTTCAATATAATGGCTCTTTGTACCTTTAGATAAATTTGCCACTTATACCTTAATTCAGTGGTCTAAAAGTCAATGGGTTTACTAAATCTTTTGATTCAATGGGCCACTTAGGCCTATATCTTTTGATTCAATGGTCACTATACCTTAATTTAGTGGCCCACTTATATCTTTTGATTCATTGGGGACTTCTACCTTAATTCAGTGACCCAGCTATATATATTGGTTCAGTGGGGCACTTATACCTTGATTCAGAGGCCCATTTAGATATTTTGATTTAATGGGGCAGTTAAAATTTAATTCAGTTGTCTACTGTTGTTAACATTTGAGGACAAAGGAGTATCCAGGAATAGTATATTGGATTTATACTTCGGAATTTGCTCAACTCGCATACTTTTGAACACCCCGCGCCGTGCATAGTCTAGTTATAAACTACCTGAAGACGAAGCTCTCTTTTAAGAAGTGAAGTCGAATGAATGCAAATGTTAACTTTCAGTATTTGATGTGCTATACGTAATGTTATTTACATACCAGAGATCGAGCCAATGAAACCCTGTACTGATTAATGAGCTAATGCCATAAAACATAGTAATAAGTTGAACCATCATAATAACCAAATCCCCATTAAACTGGTAATACAGGCTTGCTACGGTCAGAGATCAGGTGTAATCAATAATCACCACTTCTGTCCAAAGGTAATCAATTACTTGGAATTTACAGGCCCGTGCGACGGCTTTCCCAGGAGGTGGGGGTGATTTTTGCGTACAGATGATTGGTTATGCCGCCGACACGCTCACACAAAGCGTCGACAGTGCATCGGATAGATAGGGGGTCTCGAGAAAAATTTAAACCATATCCTGTACATTGTGAGCATATTTGAGCCACATTTGTATCATTAAATTCAAATCTCTAAAAAATTGTTTCGGGTAAATTAAAATTAAAAAGCCCCCCCCCCCCCTTCGGACGGGTCTGAATTTATTTGGTTTCGCTGCAACAGTTCATGCAAGGTCAACATGCTATTATATAAACATGATAATAGGCAATTATGACCCTAATGGGAAAGGTAAATCAAAATGACAGCTATCCCATTCCAATCAATTAAAAAGTTATCCAAAAACATTAATAATTCTGTTTACTCTGCCAGGACAATGTTAAGTATTTATTTTAAAAAAATAAAAATACAGTTACAGAAATTGCGTATTTTGAGCACGGTAAAAGTTAAAAATCTGATGTAGGGTCTTGGGTGATTTCGAAATAAAAAGTATAGACTGATTTGTCGTATTCGTAATAATTGTATTTAATTACACGTGATCTCACCAAAAATTATTGTGATATAAGTCTTGTAACGTTTTTATTTAAAATTAAATCGAAGAAATGATATTCTAGATCAATATTCAATATTCGTACAATATTGGATTGAGGGGGTGCGATTTTTTAGAAAAATATCAGATTTGTGTCCAACAGGGACCAAACATGGTAGTTTAGCATGTGGACCTAACTTAAAGTATGCATAAAGAATTACCAATTGTTTAATTTTGGGTTGGACCATGGCAAAAATCGAAAGATATGAGACTACGGTCGTTAATCTCCGCCTTTTGCATGTTTAACGAAGTACAATTTTAATGTTATGTCAAAAAAAAAAAAAATGTCAGGCACAACAATATGTAAACAGTATTGTTCTTTCTCCCGTTTATCATATTCTAACATATCCCTGTATTCCACGCATCTCTTACTTCTAATAATTGCAGGTGTAAAGACCGGCGGGGTTGCAGTTCTGAAACGTAAAGATCGTTTTATTTACTATCTCATCACCAAAGTACGCTACTTCAACAAACCAACATATGATTCACTTACCAAGAGCTTACATGCCATGAAGACACATTGCCAACAGAACAATGTAAAACACATCTCGATGCCTAGAATTGGCTGTGGATTGGATGGACTGTCATGGGATAAAGTTTCAAAAATACTGACTGATTTGTTCAGCGGATCTGGGATAACCATCACTGTTTATACCCTTTAGTTATTATGTCACAGCCAGTAAACAACCACCGTGTTCTGGGACTGACGCATGGTTGATGGTCGCCATTTGGCCTCTGAAACAAATGTTAAGTTTTCATAACTGCTGCCGGTGGTGGCATATGTCATGACAGTGTCTCGTTTTACATGCATTTGATATTATTTTGAAGTGAGACAGGATCTTGTGGATCATTGGTCCTTCTGATTGTAGGTTATGCTGTGGTCACATGGTCACTACGGGTCCCGGCCGATTGAGTATTTTGTTCAAAATTGTATTCAATTTTGAACAAAATACTTCTCGACCGGGCGCCGGTGCTGAAAATGGTAGCATATGTGACCACGGCATTTGCGACATATTTGGACAATTTGATTTCTTCTCTTGTTGTTTATATTTACGTTCATTATATTGTGAATAAACTTCATAACTTAAGACTGACATTTGCAAACTTTTATCGTACCTAATAAAGGTACATGTACGATATTGTCGTCAGCTTGACGGGCGGGCGGCGGGCGGGCGGCGTGTCACTTTTCAGCTTGTCTACAGGTTTCCAGCCAAACCATTTGACAGATTCATCTGAAATTTTCAGGAATGTTTCTACGTATCAAAGTTAAGAACTGATTAGTTTTTGGGCATTCTGGGTAAATTTTAAGGTGACCATTTTGGATTTTCCGTCCTAAAATCTTCACTTTCAAGACTTGTCTACAGGTTTTCAGCCAAACCATTTGACGGATTCATTTGAAATTTACAGGGATGTTTCTACATATCAAAGTTAACAACTGATTAGTTTTTGGGCATTCTGGGTTGATTTTAAGGTGGCCATTTTGGATTTTCCGTCCTAAAATCTTCACTTTTAAGACTTTTCTACAGGTTTCCAGCCAAACCATTTGATGGATTCATCTGAAATTTTCAGGGATGTTTCTACGTATCAAAGTTAAGAACTGATTAGTTTTTGGGCATTCTGGGTAAATTTTAAGGTGGCCATTTTGGATTTTCCGTCCTAAATTCTTCACTGTCACACTGCTGTGTTTTAGGCACGATATTGTTCACGTCTGTGCCTTGTTTGTTATTGTTAAACAATTCATCATTTCTTTATTTTCGTGTATAGGGCAAATAATTTCAATTACAAGATCTGGATGGCGTTTACTTTCCCGAGCAATTTCAAAAGTTTAAAGGCCCAATATCAAATTTTAATTACTTTAGCAAATATTGCAGTCGTTTCTAACCCTACTATCACACCAAACTAGTTCTCACTACGTTCTCGAAAACGGGCTTTAATTGTGTACGAACAGACTGGACGTACTTAGAACCATTTGGGGTCTATTTACAAACGTCATCGAACGTACTCGAACGGGTAGGTCCTCTAGAACTTAGAACATGCTCAAAATGTTCTCTTGGTCCTCACGTTCTTCAATTAGAACGAGTGACAACCTTCTAATGACGAGCTGGACGGACTACGAACAAAACCGTCGTACTTCAATCCTACTAGGGACGTTTTTACAACGAGTTGAACTGTCCGAGGACGTATTGAGAACGAGGTAGAACTAATTGCAAACGGGTTAAAACTGATTAAGAACGTTTTTATCAACGAGTTAGCAAAAATATAGCTATCACACCAAGCAAGTTGCAACTGCGTTCTTCAAAACTGGTTTTAAACTGTGTGCGAACGGAATGAACGTAGCTACAACCTTTTACGGTATGTTTACGAACTTTACGGACTTTCCCGGACGGGGAATGTGATTTAGAATTTTGAATTGATTCAAAATTCGATGGCAACCATACCGTTCTGTAATCAGGTCATGATGACCTTCTAGACTAAGGGACGCGTTGTACGACGTTGCACACCGACGTGGTGCGACCTGAACGAACTGCGAATGAGATGGACGTATTGAAGACTGTTTATGAACGAAGTAGCTAATTATTTTAGACATATTTCCCGACCACAGTCAGATTGAGCCCGTTTTAAGACGTTTTCGTAGGACTGGCAAGAACGGGTAAGAACTAGTTTGGTGTGATGGGGGGGGGGGGGGAGGGGTAATGTAACCCCGTGACATCACAAATTATTTATCTCATAACATTTTAACAACACACAAAATGCCATTTTTTGTTGAAATAATGTGGCTGTAACAAATTGTATAAAGCATCATTTCAAAGTTTACATTGGGACCTTTAAATATATTACTGCCAGCAATCAAGCTGTGGCGCTCTTAGTTTCTGTTAATATCCCAATATGTGAAAACAATTTACGATTTAGGTGTAAAGGTAAAGTCATAGTCACGAATTTGTTGACATGACAACTGTGTTGGAATGCTCTTGTTAATTAGTCTTTATGGTTTCTTTATTATTATATCCAAAATTAGTATGCAACTGGCATTAAAGCTTCGTGGAAATGTGCAGTAAAGTATTTCTAATGATTTCTCTATACTAGAGGAAATCACAGCCTCGCAAGAACATTATGACCAAAAAGCGCTGGCTTAATTAGCCCATCGAGCGAAGTTCTGTAGGGATATAGTGAAGCCCCCGTCCGTCCGTCCGTCCGTCCGTCCGTCTGTCCGTCCGTCCGTAAGATAACTCGAATACTAGTGGACGGATTTTCTTCATATTCGGTGCAAAGATGTATATTCTTAAATACAGTAGTTTTCTACAAAAAAACGTTTTAAGAAGTATAGCTTTATCATAGCCTACTCAAATGAAAGTCAATTTAGAGTAGATTGCAAGTATTGTATTATTTTTTTGATTCGGACCTCGTAAAATTCAAAATGGCCGCCTCAGCGCCTAATGTTGAATTTTGCAATATGTTTTGATCTCTTCAAAGAATGGCTATATTATACTCAAATTGAAGGCATTTTAGAGTAGATCACAAGTATGGTATTGTTTTTCTGATTCGTGCCTCTGAAAATTGCTGCTACTCGTGTAATTGCCGCTTTCTAGCTTTATTTATTTATTTGTAAAAGCAGGAATAGAAAGCAGTAAAACAAATTTCTTTCTCCAGGTTATGCAATTAGCTAATATAACCTACTAAACAACACACTCCAAAACTTCAATGGATTCTTTCTCAAAGCTAAGAAATGTTTGTGTGAGAATCATATGTGGCTTTTCTACTATTAATGGTTAGTCTATGTAAAGTTTAAGCTCACACAGCGAGCTATAATCACCGTACCACTATGCTCTCCAGCATTCTGTCTTTCCTTTCGTCTGACGTGAATAGAGTGAACTACCGTAAAATATAACAATAACTTAAGCGAGATAAAACTTGGACTTCAATTCTGTCAATATGACCCCCCTTTCTACAAATTGACGTACTGTCAAGTAGATTTGAGATATTCTTGATCAGCTAAGTGCATGCTGTGGTACCAGGGGGATAATAGAATGATAGATGTATCCAGTCAGTAACCTGACAATAGCCCTATTTACACTACACGCGACATTTCAAGACGTCTTAGCTGAAACGTTTTAGTAAAATGATGTTGAGTTTACACCATTTTCAAGACGTCTTACGAAATATGATTGATCGATCATGAGTTTACACCTGTTTTTCTAAAATGTCTTAGAGATATGTAGGCATACATGTAAAAAAGCAGTTCAAACTGGTTGAAGGATGGTTCTGTCAACATAGCTATTCCTCTCCCGCTAACTATACTTTCTGCTAAAGAATGCATCGGTTTAAAAAAAATATGTCCTAAAAAGAGCATTATTAAAAGCATGAAAGAGGGCAGGAAGATTTTGTTCATATATTAGGATTATGATAGAACGCTAGGCGAATTAGTTCTTCTCGATATTTTTTGGATCATATTGGTAACAAAGGGATGAGATAAGAGAAAGGACCATGCTACACATGTAATCAGGAAGTTTCAAACTTTTCATTCAGCGCAACACATAAAACCGGGCTAAGAGCTCTTAGCTAAACCCGATGGATTTACAATCGCTTGTAAAACATTTTAACTCTAAGACGTCTTGGTTATGTCTAGGGTCCTAAAATGTCTTAGCTAAGCGCTCTTAGCCGAGAGCTCTTGAGAAAATCTGGATTTACATTACATTTGTAAAACGTTTTAACGCTAAAACGTTTTGGCCAAGACGCCTCAGGGCGCTAGTGTAAATCCAACGAATAAGCCAACATCTAGACAAGTTGACTACATGTCAAACATCGTATCGTTGAAAAACCAAATTTTGGACGAGTAGTCATAAGATTCAAACATTTTCCTTCAATTTGCACACTTTGATATGGTTTTAGCAATATATTGTTTATTTGAAATATAGGGTCCCGATAACAAAATATCTCACAAAATTATCAAAATTGCTAGTATTTGTATGGTCAACTATATTATATTATAATTTTTATTTTAAAATATCACATATCAAAATGGCCACCGCCTTTATTGTCGGAACAGCACAATTCTGTCATAGTCATAAGCAATTTCTTGATTAGCTTGCAATTTTAAAGTTATATTTTGAGGCAAATCTTAAAATAACCTCCAATGTTGCAGTCCAAATGATCAATATTACATTTTTGGCCATTTAATAAGTCTAAAAGAATTGCAGGAATTTGCGTCTTTGTAGTAATCACTATTAAAACTTTGACGAAAGTCTTCTCTGTCAATTCCAAAATTTTAATCGCTGCCATTTTAATTGAAATGAACAAATGTCCAATTGGGGCCTTGTACATTGGCATAGATTAAACGATCGAAAGAATGGCAAACTCATTTAATCGCCATCAATTACTCGAATAATAAGATAACCTTTAGAAATTACCGCCATCGATCATTATCGATATCTCCAACTTTGAAAGTTGCCCAGGTCTATTGAGAATTGTGTAATATCATCTACTGTAGAATAGTATGCGAAATCAAGATGTCAAACAGGGTTACAAGCAAACCGAACCCAAACATTATTTTGTTTTGGTTCTACATTTTTTTCATTTATGTTCATCATCTGTGACATCATTTGTGATAATCGTAATATTTCCCCATAAAACTTGTCATTACGCCTCGTTTTGTTCTGGATCAAGTATGCGACCACTCCTATATGAACAAATTACTAGTATGTCTGATACAAGGTAGGCCAAAACGCCCACACTTTTTATACATGTTAATAACCAAATGGTGATGCTGCACAAATAAAAGTATAGATTCTATATACTACAAATTAGCTGAATAAAACTGAAACAATAGATGTTAAAAGTGCAAATCTCTTGAAATTCTCATGACAAACGAGAATAAGCGAGATTTCAAAGC